TAAGATTTTATTAAAAAAATAAAGTTTAAAAAAATAAATGCAGGCAAATTTGCCTGTATTACAATTTAAGGGATAAGCTTTTTAACATATAAAGGATAAAGTATAGTTTATTGTTAAAAAGATTACAATTAGAAATAGAATCAGCTTAATCGGTTAAAAATTTAGTTAAATTTTCGAATAGCTAAGAATTATATATATGCATTATTAGTAGTACAAATCTAACAAAGAATTTTGAATGAAAAGATCTGATATAACAATCATAAATACCAGTGTAATACCTGTATTTTACTGTAGACTTTCAAACATTATCTAAGATTTTTTATCCAATTATAATTTTAATTCTATTATTAGATTTTAGTCTAACCCACAATATTTATATAAGTATATAATTCTGAACCAAGCTGTAATAGATACTTTAGTTGTCGTTCTTCTTATCGCAATTATATAAAAACTTACAATAATATAATTGAAAACCTTCTTTAAGAAGCTACTATAGAAAGGAGAAATAATATATTAAGAAATGTGTAGCAAGCTAATCAATGGGATGATGATCAACTAGAAGATGAAATTGTAGTTTTGTATTAGGTTATAGAGGAGAAATAGAAAATATTGAACTAGGATTTGGAGACCATATAGATTATGAAATAGATGAAATAACAAATAGTTTACAGTCTGATTATAGTAAAGAAAGAAATGCTAGTATTAATAAAATAGATAATGAAATAGACTATAAAGCAGATGATAGGAATAATGAAATAGATAATGAAATGGACAATGAAGCAGAATTTGAAGATGATGAAGCAGAATTTGATAAAATAGATGAAATAAAAGAGGTATATATTGTATATAGTATATATGACCATCTATTAAAGTTGCGAGTAAAGCTAAGTTTGAGAGTTTGAGCTTACTATAGTTTCAACTTGCTATAGTTTCAGCCTATTAAGTTTCACTGTATTCAACAAATTTTTACCAGTTTTACTGCAACTTCAGCTAGTTTTGCCTACAACTCTAATATGTATATATATGTTTTTTTTTTTTTTGGTATTCAGGTAGGATTTTGCTCATGACTTTATTTATTGTTAATACTTTCATTACATGTATTACTACATTTTCGTATTTACATATATCAAGTACACCAA